CGGGCCGCGAGGGCGGCAGGCGGCGAGGCGAGGCGAGGCGAGGCGAGCGGGCGCCCGCGGCCACCCCCCCCTCCTCCCGCGGCGGCGATGGCGAGCCGGGGCCCCGGGTGGTGGTGGCGGCGGAGGCGGCGGCGGCGGCGGCTCTAAGCGGCGGCGAGCGGCCTCGGCCCCGGCGGCCCCCAGCGTCCCTTGTCGGAGGAGCCCTCGGATGCGGGCGGACCGTCCAGCCTGGAGCGATGGGCGAGTGGACCATTTTGGAACGGCTGCTGGAGGCTGCGGTGCAACAGCACTCCACCATGATCGGGAGGTGGGTGGCCCCCCCCAAGAGGACTAGCGCCTTGCCGGGCACCCCCAAGAGGACTAGCGCCTTGCCGGGCACCCCCAAGAGGACTAGCGCCTTGGGGCCCCCCAAGAGGACTAGCGCCTTCCCCCCTCCCCAAGAGGACTAGCGCCTTGCCAGGCACCCCCAAGAGGACTAGCGCCTTGGGGCCCCCCCAAGAGGACTAGCGCCTTGGACCCGCCTCGCCCCAGGGCCCGGAGATGCCTGAGCGTGGGGAGGGACGGGGGGGATGGTGGAGGGAAGCGCTCGGTCCCCCCCTCCGACGACCGCGGGGGCTGGCTTGGGTAAGGGGCAGAAGAGGGGCTGATCCGCAGCCCCCCCCAACTCTGCACCGGGTGGGAGCCCAGCCTGGTACCTTGGAAGTTTTCAACCTTGCTCCAAGCAGCGTGCTGCGAGGTTGTTCTGCGGTGTTCGACTACAACTCCCATGACGCCCAGCCGGTACGGGCTCACGGGGAGCTGTAGTCCTCCCGCAGAACGGAGACCCTGTAGCCAGCTCTTTAAGCCTCCCTCCAGTCCCCCTTTAGGATTCGGACAGCTGCACCCAGACTTGGGGTGGGTGGGTGGGGGAGGTTGTGGGGGAAGGCAGATTGTCGGTTGGGGGTGTGTGAAGAGGGGGATCGGAAGCCCGGGGAGATCCAGGGGGGCTGGGGACAGAAGGTGGGAGAGGCAGCTGAGATCTGTCAGGCAAAAGCTGGGCTGAAAGGAAAGTCAAAAAGAGGCAAGGGCTGACTGCTCTGCTTCTCCAGAGAAAGTGGTCCATCCATTCCCGCATCTTTTTGAGATGCTGCCCAGATGCTGATGCTGCTGCTGCATTTGGCCAGTGTTACCCCCGGAGCTGCCAGTTTCTCCTCTCTTGTCCCCTTCCTAAACCATAGAGCAAGCCAGTGTGTTCTCAACCCTGATTTCCCCGAAGGAGATGCCTTAAGCTTTATCCTTTATCCTTGGCAACTTTTAGGTCAGTTTCCAGAAGTGCAGAAAAACATGGGATATATTTTTTTAACAGACGGGGCTGTTTTTTTCAGTCTTTGCAACCTGTAGGTTTCCAGCTTGGGGAAGACTGGAAATATATACCCTGTGAGATGGATGGATGAATGGATGGATGAAGGGAGGGAGGGAGAGAGAGATAGAGATTAATTAGATAGATAGATAGATAGATAGATAGATAGATAGATAGATAGATAGATAGATAGATAGATAGATAGATAGATAGATAGATAGATAGATAATTTGTGTGTGTGTTTGTGTGTAAAGGGATGGATGGATGGATGGATGGATGGATGGATAGATAGATAGATAGATAGATAGATGATAGATAGATAGATAGATAGATAGATAGATAGATAGATAGATAGATAGATAATTTGTGTGTGTGTGTTTGTGTGTAGAGGGATGGATGGATGGATGGATAGATAATTTGTGTGTGTGTTTGTGTGTAAATGGATGGATGGATAATTTGTGTGTGTGTTTGTGTGTAAAGGGATGGATGGATAGATAGATAGATAGATAGATAGATAGATAGATAGATAGATAGATAGATAGATAGATAGATAGATAATTTGTGTGTGTGTGTTTGTGTGTAGAGGGATGGATGGATGGATGGATAGATAATTTGTGTGTTTGTGTGTAGAGGGATGGATGGATGGACGGACGGACAGACAGACGACAGATAATTTGTGTGTGTGTTTGTGTGTGTGTAGAGAGAGAGATTTTTTTTTTTGCTGGATTGAATGAAGACCCTGTATTGCAAAACAAAACTTTTAAGCCCTAAATTCATGTGACCGTATTTGCAGTGCCTTCTAGTTGTGTCTCTTTTTGAAGTCCTTCTTTGATTCTGAGTGGTGAATTACAATGTGGAGGATTGAAGGGTTTCCAAAAGGGGGTATGAAGTATTAAAATATTAATTAAATTAGATTAAAAAAAACATTAAAAATGTTTAGGACTTGCTTTTTCCTCCTTCCTCGATCAAAGTGGCAGGCAGTTCCATAGAGAGAAGGAGGGGGCTTCATCCAGGCTCTGTTGTGGGTTGTGAAGGAAGGGGGGACAGTGCCAGCCTATATTAAATGCAGAACAAAGGTTCATAATTAGTCCCATGTTCTAATCATTACAGAAACAATATTCTCATCACCCATCTTTGTCCGGGATAATTTCCTTTCTATTTCTATCCCTTCCCATTTTCTCTGTACAATAAGCAAATTAGAAGTAAGTAATCTCAAAGGATGCAGGATTTAACCTCAGCTGCAACTTCTCAATTTAGATCCACAGATGCTTTGATCCAAACCCATCTTGTTACCTTACAAGACCTAGCAGGGGCACGCCGACCCTCACACACACACACACACAGAGACACACTCACACAACGTCTCAGCACCAGCCCACACAATATTTTCTGAAAGCTTGAAATAGAAAGCAGAAAAAAAGGAAGAAAGAAAGAAAGACAAAGGCAGAATCCTGTGTCCCAAGATGCTCCCCGCGGTCTTCATTGACTCAAATTCACTTTATAGCTATGCTCCTGGGCCAGCTCCCTCTTAATATATTCCTTGAATAATTAGAGGAAAAGAGACTCATTGCCCAAGGCCTAACCTACCTCACAGGGTTGTTGTTGAGGGGAAAATAGGAAGGAGGACGAAGGAGCATTATGCGTGTTCGCCGCTTTGAGTTACTTATAAAAATAATAAAAGACGATATAAGTCTGTAAATAAATGTAGGAATAATCACTTTTTCACCCCTCGTTTGGACATCAACCCGAAACCTAGCCTGCATGTCTTGCGAAGACCCCAAGACATTGCCGTGACTCTCCCCTAGGGCACCCTCCCACTGGGACGGACTACAGCTCCCATCCTTCCTAGCCCACCCTGCTCGGGCATCCCAGGGACAGGGTCCCCCCTCCCGCCCTTTGGGGAGGGGGCTGTTCCTCACCCGCTGCTCTCCCCGCCCAGGATCCTGCTGACGGTGGTGGTGATTTTCCGCATCCTGATCGTGGCCATCGTGGGCGAGACGGTGTACGAGGACGAGCAGACCATGTTCATGTGTAACACGCTGCAACCCGGCTGCAACCAGGCCTGCTACGACAAGGCCTTCCCCATCTCCCACATCCGCTACTGGGTCTTCCAGATCATCCTGGTTTGCACGCCCAGCCTCTGCTTCATCACCTACTCCGTCCACCAGTCGGCCAAGCAGCGCGACCGGCGCTACTCCTTCCTCTACCCGCTGCTGGAGAAGGAGGCCGTCTGCGAAGGGAAGAAGGTGAGGAACGTCAACGGCATCCTGGTGCCCAACCCGGACGGCCCCTCCAAGGAGCCCGACTGCCTGGAGGTGAAGGAGATCCCCAGCACCCCGCTCAGGCCCCCCAAGAGCGCCAAGGTCAAGCGACAGGAAGGCATCTCGCGCTTCTACATCATCCAGGTGGGTTGGGGCAGGGGAGGGGGCGCCACGTTAAGCAGAGGACCTTCTAGCCGGGCAAGCTCCGGGCCCCCACCTGGAAGGGCGGGCGCAACAAAGGAGCAGGGGCTGGAGGTTCAGCAGTGGGGTCTAAGCGGTGGAGGGACCACGGCCAAGGAAAGCGGACGCTCTTGTAGTGGTCTGTGCGAAGGTCCTTGGAGGCAGGAGGAGGAAGAGCTGCAGGCTGGACAGAGAAGAGACAACTCAGCCCAGAGAAGGGAAGGGGTCTGGGAAGCATCTCAGAAGGGATTCTTCCTAGTCCAAAGGGGAGGGGAGGAGGAAGGAAGGGGAGGAGAGGAGGAGAAAAGGAAGGGAGGGAGAAAAGAAGGAAGGAAAAGACAGGATCCACTTAATTCTGTTCAGGTCTGCAGCTGCAGAAGAGGAGAGAGCTAGTCTGGTGTAGAGGTTAAGGTGCTGATCTAGAAACTAGGAGGTGGTGAGTTCTAGTCCTGCCTTAGGCATGAAAGCCAGCTGGGCGACTTTGGGCCAATTGCCAGGAGACGGTGAGTTCTAGTCCCGCCTTAGGCATGAAAGCCAGCTGGGTGACTTTGGGCCAATCACCAGGAGACTGGGAGTTCTAGTACTGCCCTAGGCATGAAAGCCAGCTGGGCGACTTTGGGCCAGTCGCCAGGAGACGGTGAGTTCTAGTCCTGCCTTAGTCATGAAAGCCAACTGGGCGACTTTGGGCCAATCACCAGGAGACAGGGAGTTCTAGTACTGCCTTAGGCATGAGAGTCAACTGGGCGACTTTGGGCCAATCGCCAGGAGACGGTGAGTTCTAGTCCTGCCTTAGTCATGAAAGCCAGCTGGGCGACTTTGGGCCAATCACCAGGAGACGGTGAGTTCTAGTTCTGCCCTAGACATGAAAGAGGGCTAGCTGACTTTGGGTAAGTCCCTCCCTCTCAGCCCAGCCCACATTACAAGGCTGTTGTGGGAAAAATAAGAGGAAGGCGGAACATTAGGTACGCTTGTTGTGTCGACTGACTTATAAAGTAACAAAGGCAGGATAGAAAAATAAAAAAATCTCGTAAAAAGCAGACGGAAGGCGACGTATCGTAATCCCCGAACGTCTCTCCCGGTTCCAGGTGGTTTTCCGCAACGCCTTGGAGATCGGTTTCCTGGCTGGGCAATACTTCCTGTACGGCTTCAACGTGCCGGCCATTTTCGAATGCGACCGCTACCCTTGCGTGAAGGAGGTGGAGTGCTACGTGTCTCGGCCCACCGAGAAGACCGTCTTCCTGGTGTTCATGTTCGCCGTCAGCGGCATCTGCGTCGTCCTCAACCTGGCCGAGCTCAACCACCTGGGCTGGCGCAAGATCAAGACGGCCATCCGGGGGGTGCAGGCCAGGCGGAAATCCATCTGCGAGGTGCGGAAGAAGGACCTGTCCCCCCTGGCTCAAGTGCCTACTCTGGGGCGGACTCAGTCCAGCGAGTCCGCTTACGTCTGAGCACGCCGGGCGCTGCGCCGTGTAGGCCCTCGGCCGAGGGGACACCGCCAACGCAAAAAAACCCACCACACCTGACCGTTGTACCTCACAGGTTAACGATGCAATATTCAGCGGGTGCTTTTCGGCCCCTTCCTCCATCGCAGGGGGAGGAGGAGGGGGCCTCCAAATCGCTTTAAGGGCCGGTGGGAGATCGGTGGGAGATCGGCTGAGAAAGAGGGTCCATCCCTTTTTCCCCCTGCGGCTGGCTTCCGCCGATGACTCTCCTCTCCACACAAACACACAAGATCATGGTGCAAGCCGTCCATCAGATGCATGCAAACTTGTGCCTAGGACTTCTTCGTACGGACCGGGGTGGGGGGGCGAGGCATCAGAAGGTGGCTTTTGGAGAAATGGACTCGCTTGCTTGTTTTGAGGTAGTTTATTTATTGGTCTATTTTTTTTTATTTTTGCAAGAGAACGAAAAAAGGGAGACAGAAAAAGATATTTCTGTCTCCCCCCCCCCCCATCCCCAGCCCGGAGAGTGCTTTCTCTCAGGTCTGCAGCGGTGTAAATATTATGCAGTGTAATGAACAAGGAAATGTCATTTTTTTTATATTAAAAAAAGAGAGAAAAAGAAGAAGAAATCAAACCCAGTGAAGAATGCAATAAAAAGGAATGTTTTCTTCTTTTTTTTGTTGATGATTTGACTCGGGATCGGAGGGTGAGGTAGATTTTCAGAACGGAGGAAATAATGAAATGAAATGGAGGGCTCACACGACTGACCAGGCTTTTTTTTGTGCACTCTGCCCATGCTCAGGGACGTTTCCCGCCATGCTCCCTTCTTCGGGACTCGGATTTTCCTTCCTAACTGAAATGTCCAAAATTCCTCGTGGCTGGCTCACTTTTCCAATTCCAGCCAGGCTGCATGCAGGGAGGGGTATTTCCCCCCCCGGGCTTTTTTGTGCTCTCTGCACATGCTCAGAGAGGCTTCCAGCCCTTCTTCAGTCCTCGGATGAGTGGGAGGGAAAAGAGGGATTTAGCCAAGCCCCTCCAACCTGCCTGACCTTGCAAAGGGGGATGTATTTCCCCCTTGCAGAGGGCAAGGCCCAGATTTACTGAGTGCTGTGACCCCCCCTCCTTCCCCCCATGCCCCCCCAGTCGCTCTTCCACCCACATCCTTGCATTTAGTGCTTCACCTCTTAAGCCGCTTTGCTGTCCTAACCAAAAAGCAAAGGATCAGAACCTCAGCGCAGTAAGCTTAGAAGGGGCAGCAGGCTGACAGTGTGCTGGTGTGTGTGTGTGTGTGTTGGCCTGTGCACACACTGTGCTTGCATTCTCTTCCTGCAGGGGCTACTGGGTGCCCCCCTCCGGCCTCCAAAACAGGAGCCCTTCAGAGTCACTTGTAAAGAGGAACATGTAGGGCAGACTTTTATATCAATAGAAGTGAGTATTGGAGGCTCAGGGTTGACCGGCAGGGACCTTGGTGCTCTCTGAGCTTGGTGGTTTTCTTGCAGACGTTTCGTGACCCAACTAGGGAACAACATCAGTGCCAGGAGGAGGAGGAGGAGGAGAACTGTGGGGTCCTTGATGCTCTCTGAGCTTGGTCGTTTTCTTGTAGACATTTTGTGACCCAACTAGGGAACAGCATCAGTGCCAGAAGGGAGGAGGAGGAGGAGGAGGAGAACTGTGGGGTCCTTGGTGCTCTCTGAGCTTGGTGGTTTTCTTGCAGACATTTCATGACCCAACTAAGGAACATGTTCAGTGCTAGAAAGGAGGGGGGTTGTGAGGAGGAGGGGGGGAGAAGGACTTTGGGGTCCTTGGTGCTCTCCGAGCTGGGTGGTTTTCTTGCAGACGTTTCGTGACCCAACTAGGTACCAGCATCGGTGCTGGGAGTGGGGATTGTGGAAGAGGAAGAGGAGGAGGACGATGACTTTGGGGTCCTTGGTGCTCTCTGAGCTTGGTGATTTTCTAGCAGAGATTTCATGACCCAGCTAGGTAACGTTATCAGTGCTGGAAGGGAGTGGGGTTTGCGGAGAGGAGGAAGAAGAGGAAAAGATATTTCCTCAACCAAGTAGGCAACATCATCAGTGCAAAGGTCCAGGGCTGGACTTTTAGGACCGAGCAGGGAGAGTGGGGTGTGGGGTGGACCAACAGCATCTCCCCAACCATCCATCTCTCTCCGAGCTGGCTCATTTTGCACTGGGAAGGGGGGGGGGAATCTTATTTATGGACAGAGGTTTTTATTGCAGTTCTCGCAGAGTTTGCCAACGTGGCATCGTTCCCTCCGTGAGAGGCGGAGGGGAAGGCGGGCTTTGGGGCTGCAAGGAGGCCAACGATGCAAAATGCAGAAGACTGCGGTTCTTTTTTTGGGAGGGGGAAAAAAAAACCCCAACCAGCCCAGTTCCTGGACTCATAAATCATCAATAATCTTATGACAGGACTTCCAGCCTTGGGGAAGTCTCCTCTGCTGGACCACGCGCTTCCGCAGCTGGTTAAGTCGCTGCCTGTTAAAAAGGTGGCTGAAGCACAAGAGCCGTGCCTGGGGGAAAAGTTGGCATCCGACTTTGAGCAGGGCAGCGTCTTTGGGTGGCCACACCTGCAATAGGTAGTCCTCGACTTACGGCAGTTCATCTAGAGACCGTTCAACGCTACGACAGCACTGGAAAAAGCGACTTGGCGTTTTTCCGGCAGACGTTTCGTGACCCAACTAAGTAACGTCATCAGTGCCAGAAGGGAGGGGGGTTTGTGAAGGAGGAGGGAGGAGGAGGAGGAAGAGGAGGACTGTGGGGTCCTTGGTGCTCTCTTGAGCTTGGTTCTTTTCTTGCAGACCTTTCATTACCAAACTAGGTAACATCATCAGTGCTAGAAGGGAGGGAGGTTTGCAGAGTGGTGGAGGAGGAGGATTATGGGGTCCTCGGTATTCTCTGAGCTTGGTGGTTTCCTTGCAGACGTTTCATTACCAAGCTAGGTAACATCCTCAGTGCCAGAAGGGAGTGTGGTTTGCCAAGAGGAGGGGGGGGGGCTGTGGAGCTGTCCTTGGTGCTGTCTGAACTTGGGTCGCTTTCTTGCAGACGTTTCATTACCAAGCTAGGCAACATCCTCAGGGTCAAAGTGGCCAAAACCACTCAGGAGCTCGGAGAACACGAAGGACCCCACCTTTGGGAGGCTCCCCACACGAAGTTCTGGGTTCCATTTGTGTTGCGTACCGTTGCATCTCCAATTTTGATCCTTCTTCTCTTCTACCTCTGTGGAATTCACCCCAATGCCTGGGTTCAGGACCCAGGGCAGCAACAACGCCTTCGGGACTCTGGCGAGGGGCTTGCTATTTTTACACACACACACACCCCGATTAGAGGCGCTTTGGCACATGACAACCAGAGTGTTATCCGGTGTGAATTATGCATAGTTCCTGTGAGAGCTGAGCCAGCAACTGATTTGAGGTGGCAGGTGGGGGGGGGGGGAGCAGCAGAGAAAGAGAACGGCCTGGTTGTGGAAAGGGGGTGACATCAAGGTGGCTGGGATAACGCTCCCCTTGACGCCCCCCCTCCATCAGTCAGATGAAAAGGGAGAAGAGACGGCATCACTACTTGGGAGACAGATGTTCCAGAAACCTGGAGAAGGGATGGTTGCTTGTTTGCTTCCTCCCTCCCTCCCTTCCCTCCCTCTTTTCTTTTTTCTTTCTTTCCTTTTCTTCCTCCCTCCCTCTTCCTTCCTGCCTCCTCTCCATCAGTTTCTCCAGCTGCATGAAGTAAACCAGGGAAAAGCCATGATTGCTGCAAGGGTCCCAAGTGAGAAAAAACGGGTCATAAATAAATCCTTTTTTTTCAGTGCCCTCGTTAACTCGATCGCTGAATGAATTGTTGTTGAGGACTACCTGCATGCAGGTTGTCAGAAAAGCCCATCAATCCAAGGAGAGGGGAAGCCAACAAACCGGTAGCTCCAGTGCAGTAGGTCGGTCTGCCCTTGGGCCAAACACAGCCACAGACGCGCTCAAAAGAGGGAGGGAAAGGAATTGGGTATGTCTAGTTTAAGGAAGGATTGGGGGGGGGGACAGGGTAGCAGTCTTCCAATATTTGAAGAGGGGGGGGGGGTCAACTTATTCTCCAAAGCCCCTGAAGGCAGGACCAGAAGCAATGGATGGAAACTCCTCAAGGAGAGAAGCAACCTGGAATTAAGAGAAACTTCCTAACAGAACAATTAACCAGTGGGACGGCTTGCCACCAGAAGTTGTGGGTGCTCCATCACTGGAGGTTTTTAAGAAAAGAGTGGACAATCCTTTAGTCCGAAATGGTATAGGGCAGGGGAAGACAACCTTGGCTCTTTTATGACTCGTGGACTTCAACTCGCAGAATTCCATGAGCCATAAAAGAGCCAAGGTTGCCTACCCCTGGTATAGGGTCTCCTGCTTCATCAGGGGGTTGGGCTAGAAGACCTCCAAGGTCCCTTCCAAGTCTCTTTATTCTGTTATTCTTTACTTGTGAGGATCCAGAGCTTTTTGAAGGAACTGGAAGGAGGCAGAAAGGGTCCAATGCACCCCAAAGACCCTTCCCCCCCCCAACCCAACCGATGCTGGAGATAAACCAGAAATCCTGCCAGCTTCCAATCTCCCGCAGAGATCTAGTTGGCGAGCCACAATTTCCAGCACGCTGGTGGTGCGGAAGGCTTATGCCAGAGAGCTAAAATATGAAGGCAAAGCTATTCCTAGCCCATTACGTCCTGCCCAGGGCAGGAACACCCACCAGCTGGGAGCTCAACCCGGAGCAGAATCAAGAGACGATGGGGGCCGGGAGATAAATCCTTGAGTATTGGAAATGGGGGTGTTTTTTAATCCTCTTGGCTCTGGCCTGCAAGGGGGGAGGGAGGGAATCTATGCCCCTTTTAATATCGGAGAGGCCGTTCCAGGAAGGAAGCGACAGATGAGACATAAGGAAGGCGGGAGATGTAGACCTTAACGAGAAAGCAAAGGATCCTGGCTCTTAAAAAGCCGGGGGCGCCTGGGATGGACCGTCAGGATGGGGCCTCCGATTCGGGAGCGGCAGATTGTCCACAGAGGAATGACCCACATTGCATCGAGTTGAAGATCCGTCTTAATCCAGGGCATTAATCCAGAGAGGAGACACGGGAAACAAGGTACTCTCGCTTTGATGACGATTGCAGCGTTCCCCCCCAATCACGGCACACCCCGAAAAAGGGGGTGGAAGACCACCAAGCAGGTTTCAAAGCCACCGTGAAGCTCCATCCTCCCCCCCTACAGGCTGGTTGGGGGCCCGAGGCGCATTATCGAAAAGTAATCAAATGAAGGCTAATCTCGCGGATTAAGGCGGGGGAGGAGCCCGCCCAGCTGCAGATTTAAAGGTCCGACTGGATCTCTTCTTGCTGGGAAAAAAAAAAGAGACAGAGGGATGGAGGTCCATCCTCTGCTTTTGATCACCAGCCCCCTCAGAGCCCCCTTCTCCAACCTGGGGTCCTCCTCAGACTGGGGGCTACAATTCCCACCCTCCCCTAGCCAGGCCCATTGAGTCCCGGGTTAAAGAAAAGGAGGATGGGGGAGAGGGTCTCCGGTTGGGGAAGGGGGTGGGAATAACCCAGAGAAGAGGAAGAATCAAGCGAGAGAGACTTGAGGTTGTTTTGTGGAGTTTTAATGAAACACGAGGCCTCCGTGTGAGCTCCCGGCCCGCTAATTTTCACGCTTCTATAATCTGCAGAGGAGATTGGGGGGGGGGGAGAGAAAAGAGGGGTGAACGAGGTGTGTCATAATTAAAACAAAAAAAGCAGAAGGAGCTGGAAGCTTGCATTTCACCACTCTCCACCCCCCAAAGTGAGAAGTGCCGGAGAAAAAGGTGGAAATATAAATATATACATTCAGTTCAGTCATGATATGATATTTATATTTTTATCTATCTATCTATCTATCTATCTATCTATCTATCTATCTATCTATCTATCTATCTATCTATCATCTATATTTCTATATCTATCTATCTATCATCTATCTATCTCTCTATCTATCATCTATCTCTATATTTCTATTTCTATTTCTATCTATCTATCTATCATCTATCTCTATATTTCTATTTCTATTTCTATCTATGTATCTCTATCTTTCTATTTCTATCTCTATCATCTATCTCTATCTTTCTATCTCTATCTCTATATTTCTATTTCTATCTATATCTCTTTCTATCTATCTATATTTCTATTTCTATTTCTATTTCTATTTCTATTTCTATCTATCTATCTATCTATCTATCTATCTATCTATCTATCTATCTATCTATCTATCTATCTATCTATCTATTTCTATTTCTATCTATTTCTATTTCTATTTCTATCTATCTACTGTACCTCTCTCTCTCTCATGTTCAATTATATATATATATATCAGGTCATCATTCAACCACCAAGCCTGGATGGGGTAGAAACCCTCAGCTCTTGGGGGGGGGTGTAAGAGAAGGGGGCAAAGTGCCCCAACTGGATTTCAACCACGTGCCAAGAAATCCTAGCCTCATTTTGGGAGGGGGGAAGCTTCTCTTGATATCTTTTCCCACCGAGATGAAACGTCTCTTCTTAGACGCCCCGAAAGTGCTTTTTTCCCCCAAAAGACAACTGGCCTTTCTTGGCTCTTCCTGCGGCCGCTTGGAAGTCCACCCTTCCATCAGAACTGAAGAAGCTTCCTGGATGAGAATCGAATCATTTGCAAGGAAAAAGCCAAGAAATCTTCAGTTGCCTTTTGAAAAAAAAGCAGCTTTGGGAATCTTGAGGGATGTTCCATCTCGCGGGGAAAAGATATGGAGAGAATCTTACTGACCTGGATGACTTGGGAATCTCCACAGACATCCTTAAGATTGAAAACTGGAGGGTCCAGGACCACAACCAGCTTCAGATTTTGGGGTCAGGCCTCCCCCCCAAAAACAAAAAGTTGGGGTTTCTCAACTTCAAACGTAAGAGAAACAAGGGGGACCATCAGTTTAGGAAGCCAGTGGCACACGATGGCTGCTCCTGATGGGAGTTGCAAGCCATCCCAAAGGCACCAGCCCTGGGAAGGGCAGCCTTAGAGCACCTTCTGCCCCAGCCTGGACCGGTCAGCTGGTCTGGCCAGACGAGCAGGGAAATCTGCCAGCTCTTCTCAGCTCCAAGCAAGGCCGCTACTTACACGATCTCTCGGAAAGCTCGCTTTTCAACGTATTTTAGCCGGTATTTCCTTTTGAACCTGGTAGAGAAGAAACCACGTTATTAGAGTCATCTGCAGAGCTGGGACGCATTCCTTCCCGGAGGAAGGAAACTTAAACTGGCTTGTTTCCATCCAAAGAGGTGGCTGGCAAAGTTGTGTGAAAGCCTGCCTCAAGGGAACGGGATCCCTCTTTAAAAGATCCCTACCGCTTAGCTAACTGAAGCTTGCCCAGCTGCTCTCTCTCTCTGTCTAAAATCTTTTATAAGTGGTTCATTCAAAAGGGTCGGTGAATTGATGCCACTGATCTAACGTTGAGAATTAAAGTTCCAGGAACAAATTCTCCAATCTTGTTAAAATTGTTTGCGGAGGCACTGTTTCACCCAAGTATGAGCTAATCCTTGACCCCAAAACCATGAGCAACGAAGCAGTTGGAGGAGAAGCTAAGGCTTTGGGGACCAATTCCTCCTTCTATCCCAGTTACTCACTTGGCCCGTTCCCGGGGTTCGATAATGTTGCGTTTCTGCAAGCTCTTGAAGCGGTCCTTCAGGATGCTGCCTTCTGGCTGGGGGGTGGGGGTGGGGGTGGGAAGAAAAGACAAACATGAACTCAGGATGCTCAAGAGCAGGGGGTCCTCAACCTTAGCCACTTTTAAGACTTGTGGACTTCAACTCCCAGAATTCCCCAGCCAGCCATGCTTGACCCTTGGTTCAACAGAAGAGACACCGAAGGGCGAGGGATCCAGCTTGTGCTCTGGTTTCAGAGATCAATCAGGGAATCTATCAGAGATGCCCACTTGAATCTCCAGAGGGGAAGGAAGGTAGGAAATCCAAGTTACAGCCCAGGTGGTCCTTGACTTATCACGTGACCCCTGGGGATGCTGCAAAGGTGGTTGTGTGTGAAAAACGACCCGACGTCACTTTTTCCAGCGCCGTTGTAACTTCGAACGGTCACTAAAGTGAACTGTGACCTGTGTTCCTGTCTCCAGCGACATCTTTGGCCACAATGGCCCAAACCAGGTGTGGTTTCCTGCCTTTGTGCAAAAGGACACGCGTTGGACGCTTTCATGCGAGCCCTACAAGTGACATTTTTCAAAAAGAGAAGTGAGAAGCTCCCCCCTTGCTTTTCTCCTCACTCACACCTCCAGGAGGGACTCGGCGGGTGACAAAAAGTCAAGCTTTTCACGCTATCTCAGTTCCTCAGGTACAATCAGGGAGGTGTCTTCCTGCTGGGGGGGGGGGTAGAAGTGATTTTTCTGGATCTGCTGGGTGGGAAGTTAGGAAGCTGGGAGGGGAATGGGCAACGGGGAGCCCACGGACAAGCGGAGGGTCTGAGAGGGGGGTCCCTGGTCCTCTCTGAGCTGGGCTGCTTTTATGCAGATGTTTCATTACTCAAACGAGGTAACACCATCAGTGCTAGTAGAGTGGAGTTTGCAGGGAGGAGGAGGAGGAGGAGGAGGAGGAGGAGGAGGAGGAGGAGGAGACGACTGTGGAGTCCTTGGTGCTCTCTGAGCTGGGCTGTTTTCTTGCAGATGTTTCATTACTCAAACTAGGTAACACCATCAGCATTAGTAGAGTGGAGTTTGCAGGGAGGAGGAGGAGGAGGAGGAGGAGGAGGAGGAGGAGGAGGAGGAGGAGACGACAACAACTGTGGAGTCCTTGGTGCTCTCTGAGCTGGGCTGTTTTTATGCAGACCTTTCATTACTCAAACGAGGTAACATCATCAGTGCTAGTAGATTGGAGTTTGCGAGGAGGAGGAGGACTATATGGATCTTGGTGTTCTCTGAGTTAGTGGTTTTCTTGCAGACATTTCATTACCCATCTAGGTAATGTCATCAGTGCTAGAAGGAAGTGGGGCTTGCAGCATGGAGGAGGAGGAGTGGATAACAACTGTGGAGTCCTTGGTGCTCTCTGAGCTTGCTTGCTTTCTTGCAGACGTTTCATTACTCAAACTAAGTAACATCCTCAGTGCCAGGAGAAAGTGGCATTTGCAGAGGAGGGGGTGGAGGACTGTGGAGTCCTTGCTGTCTCTGAGCTGGGCTGTTTTTTTGCAGACCTTTCATTACTCAAACTAGAGAACACCATCGGTGCCACCTAGCACTGACAGAAGAGGGAAAGGAGAAAGGGGAAGCTTCAGAAAAGCACCTCCCAGAATTCATCGGTACAGCTGCAATTCCCCAAGCGGTTAATCTAGCCTTTCCCTCTCCTTGGAATGTCTGGTCCGTGGTTGAAGGGGACCCTCCGTGCTTTCCTTTCGAAAAAAAAACCTTTGCGCACGTAATCAGGCAAACCCTAGACTCACCGCATGCAACTCCACCGTGTTCTGAGACGAGGTAAAGAGTCCCCTGTTGAATTTGTAAATAGAGGATTCCTATTTGCTCGTTGAGAATGTTAAATAAATACCCCCCAGGCTGGAAAGGAAGGAGGGGTGTGGGTGTGCGCCGGAGGGTGCCTCAGTTCCCCTGATCCTTACCCACTCGGTAGGACCAGGGGGTCCCCTGGGGTCCTTCACATTCCCAGCAAGGGCTGCTGCAAATGCTCCGAGCGCAAGGATGGGTCTCATCATCGGACACCGAAAGGAGGGGGGGGGACAATGAAGTGGTTCTCTTCCACCCCCCAACACAACCTCAGAAGCAGCTTTTCCTTCGTCCGTTACTCTCCCTCCATTACTGGGGAGGGACATTCCCCCCCCCTCCCCAGTGCCAGGTAGGCTCTACAGGGGGTCCTTCACTTACAACCCCAGAGCCGTTCTGTTGATAAGTGAGACATTTGTTAAGGACGCATTGCCCCGTTTTACACCCTTCCTTGCCTCCGTCCTTAAGTGGATCGCCGCAGTTGATAACTTAGTCGCCCCGTTGTTAAGTGAAGCTGGCTTCCCCCCCCCATGGGCTCGGCTTGTCAGAGGATCACGTGACCCCTGGGACACAGCAACCGTCACAAGTACATGCCAGTTGCCAAGCGTCGGAATTTTTAACGCGTGGCCCCCGGAAGGCTGCAAAGGTCGTAACTGTGAAAAATGGGTCATCGGTCACTTTTTTTCAGTGCTATTGTAACTTTGAACGGTCATTAAATGAACTGCTGTTAAGTCGAGGACCGCCTGGACTACTACTTTTGAATCCCTCCCCTCCCCGGGGGGCGTCTCACATAAAGGCAACGTGGTTGTGCTGTGTTCCTCTTCCCAGCAAGCCACACACAACCAAACGGAAGCCTTTTGCAAACTGGCACCCATTCAGAGGGGGGAGGGTTGCCTTCCCATCCCCATTTGGGGGGGGAGAGAATGGGGGGTTCCAATCATCCGAGGACACCCGGCTGGAGAGAGGCGGATGGAGAAAGGCTGGCGTAATTCAAGCCCCCGGCTAGCGCAGGAGGAGTCCAGAGTCTCCTCCCAAAAGGGCCACTGGATTCGCTGGAAGGAGATGGACCAGTGGTGGCGAACCTCTGGCACGCGGCACTCAGAGCCCTCTCTGTGGGCACACACGCTGTTGCCCCAGCCCCGCCTCCCCCCGCGACCCTTCCTCACCAGCAGCTCCCCCCCACCGGAGAGTTGCCCCTGGGTGCGGCCCGCGCAGAGCAGCGCAGCCAATAACATGGCCGCCAGGCAGCAGGGACAAGACTCCACCTTTGCGCCCTGATGCGCACAGATGCTGCTGGGTGTGGGGTGGAGGGCATGGCTGTCACGGCATTGCAGGGCCGCCTGGGTGATCTGCGGTGGGCCGTGGAGGCAGTGGGTGGTCGTGAGAGTGGGCAGGGGCAGAGCAGGCGGGCAGGCCGGGGTGGTTTTGGGGCACTTGGTCTCTAAAAGGTTCACCATCACTGAGATAGACCAAGGGGCAGGCAGGCGGCCTGGAGCAGAGGGGAAGATGGCAGTAACACACACACACACACACACACACAGAGAGAGAGACACAGAGCCCGGGCAGACCCTTCTGTCGTGCCGGTTTGCCCCAAAGCCGGAGAGCCGCTCACCCTCAGCGTCCTCAAGGACTCCGCCAGTTCACTGCTCAGCTGCACGTCCACGTCGGGTTCTTCGTACCTGCCGAGAAGAGAGGGTGGCCTTGCTGAGAAACAGGAGACCAGCTGGGCTTGCTTTCTGCCCACCCTCTCCTGGCCCAACACAGCCCCCTCCTGCTCTTATCTCTCTCCTCTTTTATGGGCCGCCCATCTCACCACGGGGTAGCTCTGGGCGGCCTACACTCTTAAAAAGATCCAACCAACACAAAAGCTAAAAGACCTAAATAAAATACTGTGAAGAGCCGATAAAAAGATGGAGGGTGGGGAGGGGGATCTGCGGTTAATCGATCCTCTACCTCTACCCTGATGCTCCCCCACTGGAGCCCAAAGGTAGGTCTCGCTCTGAGTGGGAAGATCTTCCAAAGAGCAGGAGCGACGGCAGAGAAGGCTCTTCTCCTGGGACCCACCAGCAGGAATGCTGAACAGAGTTAACAAGAGATGGAGCAGGAGACCTTATACAATTTTAGACAAAGGGCTGTCCAGTCTCTTCTTGAAAACTTCCAGTGTTGGAGCATTCACCGCTTCTGGAGGCAGGCTGTTCCACTGGTTAATTGTTCTAACTGTCAGGAAGTTACTCCTTATATTCTAGGTTGCTTCTCTCCTTGGTTAGTTTCCATCTGTTGCTTCTTGTCCTGCCTTCTGGTGCTTTGGAGAAGAGCTTGACTCCCTCTTCTTTGGGGCAGCCCCTGAGATACTGGAAGACTGCTATCATGTCCCCCCTCGTCCTTCCTCTCCATTAAAGTAGACCTACCCAATTCCAGCAACCGTTCCTTATATGTTTTTGCCTCCAGCCCCCTCACCCTTCTTGGCTGCTCCCACTTACTTGAGCCTGCCCAGCCGTTTGGGCTTGACGGCCTCCAGTTTCCGCTTGGCTTGGCGTCTCTGCTTCCGGCGTTGCAGCTCGGCCTCCCGCTGTTTCAGCTGAAGCCGGATGGATTTCAACTGGAAGAGCTCCTGTTTCCTGAGCCGGGCAGCCTTCTCGGAGAGCTCGCGGGCTTTCTGTGCCGGAAGAAGCAGGCGGGAAAGGGAAGGTGAGGCAGGGGCGCTGCGTGGCTCCCGTTTGGGTTTCCCTTCAGGGACTCTGCAGACTGTGCCCACCCCGTGCTGGGTGGGTCTCAGTGGGTCCAGCAGCCGTCCTCAAGCTGGCATCTCCCCGGCTTCTGCAGAGCTCACGCAGGGAGCAGATGGCAGCACGAGGCTGGGCCAGATGGCGGGCGCGCTCGTGAGCCACAACATCCCCAGCAGAGAGGCAAAATACGCGCCGGTTGGCACGCAGCCCGGAAGGCAGTCCCGAGCGGTGGCATTGTTGCTTCAAGGACGGCGCGGAGAGTTTGGAAAGGAATCCCTGCCGTGTCCATCACACCACACAGACAGACCCCAAGGAAACAGCGCCGTGTTTCTGTTTTCTGCCTACCCCACAGTAATAGAATCCAGGGCCCAGATCGCTCGTTTGCAGGAAAAACAGCAAGAAAAGCCTGAATTATTACAAGGGCGAGACATTTTCTCCCTCTGCGGCCGTTCTCTCTCCTGCAGGCTTTGTCTGCTGACCTGGAAACCCGCTGGGACCACTACCTTCGCCGGCAAGCCTGAGTAGGCTGGGAACCAGGGGGAGTGTAGTCTATCCCTTCTGGAAACCGAGGCTGTGCAAGACGGGTTTCCTTCCCAGAGTCTCCGGGGGCTAGCCCAACTCACCGACCGCTTGTCGGCTTTTTCCTTCTTGCGCTGCCGTTCCGTTTTCTTCTCTCCGGCCGCCGTTGCTGTGAAGAGAGGGGAGACTGCCTGGTGGGGGGCTGCCTGCGGGTCCTCCTCCTTCTGGGGCCTGTCCTGCCCTTCCTCGCCCTCCGATTCCTCTTCCATGAGGCCCTCGCATTGCTCCTGAAACACCGACTCCTGCGAAGAGGTCAGAAGGGGAGAAGCTGAAAGGGGAAGAAGCATCGGAGGGCAGGCCGTCCCGTCCCGTCAAGAGGCAGGTCTCTGGGATTCGTGCTCCCAACAGATTCTCCACTCCGGTCCAACACTCAGTTGCAAAAAGCAGGAATCAGATCCTTCGCAAGCCTGCCTAGGAGTCCAAGGCCAGCCCAGGGGTAGGTGATGGACCAGCAGGCGTATCATGGCGCCCACAGCCAGACTGGCTTTAGCAAAGGGGAAGGAGAATCATCCTGTCGATTTCCACCTTGAGACATCTTATTTAATTGCATACTTTGCCTTTATTGTTTTTATGCACAACTCCGTCTCTACGAAACTGAGAGGCAGTTTGGTCTGGTGGATAAGGCACCAGGCTAGAAATTGGGCATGAAAGCCGGCTGGGTGACTTTAGGCCAGGGGTAGGCAACCTTGTCTCTTTTATGACTGGTGGACTTCAACTCCCAGAATTCCTGAGCCAGCCGTGCTGAGGGAAAAGGGAGAGGTTTCCATGCTGAGCCATGCTGGCTCAGGAATTCTGGGAGTTGAAGTCCTCCCATCTCCGAGTGGCCAAGGTTGAGAAATACAGGCCTAGGCAACCTTGGCTCTTTTATGACTCGTGGACTTCAACTCCCAGAATTCCTGAGCCAGCGTGGCTCAGCATGGAAACCTCTCTTTCCACTCAACATGGCTCACTCAGGAATTCTGGGAGTTGAAGTCCACGAGTTATAAAAGAGCCAAGGTTGCCTACCCCTGCTTTAGGCCAATCACCAGGAGACTGGGAGTTCCAGCCCCGCCTTAGCCATAGAAGCTGGCTGTCTCTGGGCCAATCACCGGGAGGTGGCAAGTTCTAGTCCCGCCTTAAGCTTGAAAGCCACCTGGGTGACTTTGGGCCAGTCTCTCTCGGCCCAACCAACCTCACAGGACTGTTGTTGTGGGGAAAATAGGAGGAAACGATCGGAACTGTGACCCCAACTTTGGGAAAGTCCTTCCCTCCAATCATTGTCATCTCCTCTAGGAATAATTCTGTTGCTATTTATCCCCAAGAAGGATTCAAGATGAAATTCAGCCCTTGTTAGGGACTGGGCCTCCTTGCATTTTGGGCCTCGGCACTCACCTGGGTGGGGGCCTCCGCGGCGGTGGGGAAATTCAACTGGCGCTGCAGCCTCTCTGCTGCCTTCTGCCTCACCAGCTCCGCTTCGAAGGCCTGGAGGAGCAATGCCTTGGGGGCAGGGAGAAGGGAGTGGGGCAAGAGAAGACGACACACCCAGTGAGCTCTTCACGCAGACCGCAGCAGACTTCCCACCTGGGACCCTGCAGGAAGCCCACCCCAATGGGTGGCTCGGATTCTCAAGTGCCGGACGGGAGGGAAATAAACCTGCCAGCCTTCACCGTTGCCAATACCTGGTGAGACTGGAAGCTGGGATTGTAAGATCCACCCGGGGAGATGATCTCCATGGCTGGCAGCTCGGATGGGGTCTTCTTCAGCCTGTCTGGACGCTGGAGGGAACATCAGACTCAGAGCCTGCAGGCCACTTCCCACCTCCGCCACGGAACAGGCCCGGCCCTTACCTGCACAGGCTGCTTCTTGGTTTGTTCCAGGAAAAAGGCATCCTGCCCAGCTAGAGCTTGATCAAACGGGTCTGATGGGAAGAAAAACGAGAGTCGGTTCAGTCTAGCGTGGTGGTGGCGAACCTATGGCACGGGTGCCAGAGGTGGCACTCGGTGCCCTCTCTGTGGGCACACATGCTGTTGCCCCAGCCTTGCCTCCCCCCATGACCCATTCCTCACCAACAGCCCCCCTGGAGGAGAGTCGCCCCCGGAGTGTGGCCCACGTGGAGCAGCACAGCCAAGGACATGGCTGTGGCCATGTGGCCCACGTGGAGCAGCACAGCCAAGGACATGGCAGCCAGGCAGCGTAGACAAGACTCTGCCCTCACACCCCATCGCGCACAGTTGATGCTGTGGGCCACGGGCAGAGGGTGTGGCCGTCATGGCGCTGCTGGGCTGCCTGGGTGATCTGCGGCGGGCCCTGGAGGTGGTGAGTGGCCCTGCGGGCAGGCGGGGTGAGGCAGGGCAGGGGATGGAGTGGGGCCAGTTTTGGGGCACTCGGTCTCTAAAAGGTTCACCATCACTGGACTAGCGGTTAAGGCACCAGGCTAAAAAGTGGAAGACGGTGAGTTCTAGTCCCGCCTTAGGCATAAAAGCCGGCTGAGTGATTTGGGCCAATCACCAGGAGATTGGGAGTTCTAGTCCTGCCTTAGGCATGAAAGCTGGCTGGGCGACTTTGGGCCAGTCAGAAATGTCTTTCATTTCGCTCCGATTTCAACGGACTTGGAACTTGGGCCGTCAACTGAATACCCAAAGGCTTACTTGAATCTGCCCAAATGTCGTAGAACTCCCGAGAGGGATCGGTCCCACTGTCTGCTCCGACTATCTTGGCTTTCGGTGGGTTTTGTAACCTCTGCTGAAGGAGCCGTTCTTTTCGGGGCACCACCCCCCTTTCTGACAGCTTCTCCCAGAGTCGCTGCTTCCGTTTCAACTTCCGGCCATTGGGGACCTGATACGAAAGGATGCTGAGGAGGAGGAAGAGGAAGGCAAGTTTTAGGTCTGAGCCACAGCCTGGATAAATACGCTCTGTCCAGGTGTGGTTCAAGACAAGTTAGAATGGCACAGTTCGCACCCAGCGCTAAGCCATCAATCACAGGACACAAAGTGAAGTAGTTTCATGGTGCTGGATCAAAATCCTCTCCCTGCAGGCCGAAGGGTTTGAATGCTTGTTGCGACATCTTCTATTTGAAGAAGACGGCAACAATGGGGCCATTTCTTCAGACACAACTCCCAGAAGAATCTCAATTTTTGGAAGCAGGGCTACGAGGAGCACTGTAAGTCCTTGACTTACAACAATCTAGAAGCAACAATCTACAATCAATCTACAACAATCTAGAGAAGCAATCTAGAACTAAGGATAAACTTCCTGACCGTTAGAACAATTAGCCACTGGAACAACCTGCCTCCAGAAGCTGTGAATGCTCCAACACTGGAAGTTTTTAAGAAGAGACTGGACAGCCATTTGTCCGAATGGCTGAGCAGGGGGTTGGACTAGATGACCTCCAAGGTCCCTTCCAACTTTACTATTACTAATTATTATTATTTAGTGATCATTCAAATTTACAACTGCACTGAAAAAAGGGAGTTATGATCATTGAATCATCCACTGCAGTCACATGATCAAAATTCCAACCCTTGGCCGCTGGTTCATAGTAATGACGGTCACAGCGTCACGTGATCCCCTTTTGCGACCGTCTGACGAGCAAAGTCAACGGGGAAATCCAGATTCACTTAGCCACCGTTTGACTTAACAACGGCAGCGATTCATTTAACAACTGTGGCAGGAAAGCTCGTAAAATGGGGGCAAAACTCAGTTAATAACTGCCTCACTTAGCAACATAAACTTTGCGCTGAAGCGTGGCCATTAAGTTGAGGACGATCTATAAAAAGGCAGCATTTCAAAGACGACCCCAGGCAATCAAAATGGATTCCCTGAAAAGTCAGTTATACTGGAGAAATTTTGGGATCCGGGCAGACCATGAGGGATAGAGGGAAGAAGGGCGTCAATCTTCTAACCTAATAAAAACTCAAGAAATGGAATCTGAATATTTTACAAGATGACAAACAAAAGGAACCAGGGGACTGGTTGTTTTCTTCAGTTTTTCACTTTTTCAGCAGCCCTGGATCACACTGAAGTTGCAAGGTGAAGAGGCCAACAAATCAATTAAAATAAGGACTCCTGTCTCTGCCCTATATTGTCCTTCCCCGAATCAAACATCCTGGGCCCCAAAACGTGACAGACAAAGACCCTGAAAAGGAATGAAGATGCTGGCTTCCCCAGACCCATTTCACAATGAAAGACGGAGAGAAAACTCAACTTTTTGGGTGGAGGGACCTTGGAATCTGGCTGTAGGATCAAGTCAATCTTCAGAGGCTTCTCTTTGGCTGGTTTCTCTTTCTGACCTGGAACAAGAAGGTAGGCAGGGAATGAACCCAGGAGCATAAATCAACACCGGGAGTGGTTAACAGCAAAGGTGAGGGCTGGGACTCTTGTAGTGGAACCACCTGATTAGATCTTTTTCCCTTACTGTGCTCTGCCTCCAAAGTCTCTTGTCAAAAACTCTACTTGCCAGTGGCACCGAAGGGAGTGGAAGCCAAGGAAAGCATCGCCATGTTTTCATTAAGAATATCATGGCCATTGTTAAAAACCTTAATTTTGAATTGCTTTAAAACGTTTCAGTGTTTGAATTGAAATATATTTTTTGAATTGTCAGCTGCCCAGAGTCATTGGTTGATTTCAACACTGCTAACATCGGATGCTTTTGCATTGACGACAAATGGAAATGTAGCCATCTTTTACCTTTTGCTTTTGGCGTTAGATGATGCTGGGAGGGGGGATGTGAACGAGAGTCCAGCTAAACATAACAACACTGGACCCAGCGTGAGAAACAAGGTCCCTGCCAACTCTATTATCATTATTATTATTAATTATCATCATCATCACTGTTGCAACCTCTCACCTTGCTGTTCGGTGCTGGTATCTACGAAGAAGAGGCTTTCATTTGGCTTTTCCGACACCGGTCCTCTGGGGAAAAAAATAAACATAAATATGCAGTTCATGGTCTTTCATCAAGAGCTAACACATTCCTGGGTTCTCAATAACGGAAGGGAGCCGGACATCTTCTCCCCCACTGTAACACTGGGGGATCTTCTTCGTGAAACACCCTCAGGACTTTCACAACCATGAACCCCTCCGTTACAAGTAGTCCTCAACTTACAACAGTTTGTTTAGTGACTGTTGCCAAAAAAAGTGACTTAGGGCTGTTTTCACACTTACAACCATGGCAGTATTCCCCATCAAGATTCAGACGCTTGGCCACTGACTCATATTTATGACGGTTGCAGCATCCCGGGGGTCACGTGACCCCCTTTGGCCACCTTCTGACAAGCAAAGTCAATGGGGGAAGCCAGGCTCACTTAACAACCAGGTTACTTATTGAACCACTGCGGTGATCCGCTTAACCACAGTGGCAAGAAAGGTCGTAAAATGGGGCAAAATTCACCTCAAATGTCTCGCTTAGCAACAGGGCTCAATTGCGGCCGTAAGTCGAGAACTGCGTATAATTCCACAGCCGTTTTCATCGAGATCAACCAGGGGTGGGCAACCTTGGCTCTTTTATGACTGGTGGACTTCAACTCCCAGAATTCCTGAGCCAGCCGTGCTGAGGGGAAAGGGAGAGGTTTCCAGGCTGAGCCATGTTGGCTGAGGAATTCTGAGAGTTGAAGTCCACAAGTCATGAGGGGGCCAAGGTTTCCCTCATGCTGGCTCAGGAATTCTGGGAGTTGAAGTCCACGAATCATAAAGAGGCCAATATTTCCCCCATGCTGGCTCAGGAATTCTGGGAGTTGAAGTCCACCAGTCATAAAAGAGCCAAGGTTGCCTACCCCTGGCCTAGGCCTGTATTTCTCAACCTTGGCCACTCGGAGATGGGTGGACTTCAATTCCCAGAATTCCTGAGCCAGCATGGGGGAACTATGGCCCCCTCATGACTGGTGGACTTCAACTCCCAGAATTCCTGAGCCAGCATGGCTCAGCATGGAAACCTCTCCCTTTTCCCTCAGCATGGCTGGCTGAGGAATTCTGGGAGTTGAAGTCCACCAGTCATAAAAGAGCCAAGGTTGCCTACCCGATATAGGTTCTCCTGCTTGAGCAGGGGGTTGAACTAGATGACCTCCAAGGTCCTTTCCAACTTTATCATCATCATTATCATTAATTCCTGAGCCAGCCATGCTGGCTCAGGAATTCTGGGAGTTGAAGTCCACCAGTCACAAAAGGGCCAAGGTTGCCTACTTCTGGCCTAACCCTTCGCTCCCTGGGGTCGCTAGCGCCCGCGCATGCTCAGAAGCACATCCTCGCGGCTGCCTTTTCCTATGCCGGCTGGCTCTCAGGGGTAGACTGCCTCCGAACCCGGAGGCTCTATTTCTCCCCCATGCCTCCCACAGGCCCCGCCGCGCCTCACCCCAAGTGCCGCAGCTCCGAGGCCCGCTCTTCCAGCCAGTCCCCGAGCTCCCGGCCCAGCTCGGCCTCGGGGCCCCGCCAGCGCTTCCAGCCCTTCTTGCGGTTCCGGGCGCCCCGGCCGCCCACCCGCCGCGAGGGGAGCCGGCTGGGGTCCCGCGAACTGACGCTGAAGCCCAGGAAGGAGGAAGAAGCGGCCGCCGCCTCAGGAGCAGCACCCGGCGCCGCCATCTTGCGCCACGAGAAAGCGAGAGAGGGGATGACAGAGAACCGGAAGAGCGAGGGAAAGAGCGCCGCCCTCCTGAACGAGGAAGGGGGAAGACGGCTTCCGGTAGTGGACGGCGCCATTTGCGTGGAGGAGATAGGCATTAAACCACAAAGAGACAAGAGGGGCGCGGGGGGGGGGAAATACATAAAGCTTGAAAACTTCCGGGACTGCGTTGAATGCAGTTGCAGCTGCGCTCCAGCCCCGCTGCTCCTTGGTGCCTTCCAGTTGTCTCTTGGACTATAGCTCTTCTCCAGAATGATGGGCGTTGTAGTACAGCTGGATGGGGAATTCTGGGAGTCCAAGTCCACCCATCTTAAAGAAGTGGCTAAGATTGAGAATTCCTGGCAAATAGATGGGGAAGAAATGGAGGTAGTGACAGAGTTTATCTTTCTGGGCTCCAAGATCGCCACAGATGGGGACTGCAGCCAAGAAATTAAAAGACGCTTGCTCCTGGGGAGGAAAGCTATGGCAAATCTAGACAGCATACTAAAAAGCAGAGACATCCCCCTGCCAACAAAAGTACGTAGTCAAGGCCATGGTTTTCCCAGTGGCAATGGATGGCTGTGGAAGCTGGACCATAAGAAAGGCTGAGCGCCAAAGAATGGAGGCCTTTGGACTCTGGTGCTGGAGAAGACTCCTGCAAGTCCCCTGGACTGCAAGGCGATCCAACCGGTCCGTCCTAGAGGAGATCAACCCCAACTGCTCTTTAGAAGGCCAGATCCTGAAGCTGAAGCTCAAGTCCTTTGGCCACCTAATGAGAAGGAAGGACTCTCTGGAGAAGAGCCTGATGCTGGGAAAGATGGAGGGCAATAGAAGAAGGGGACGACAGAGAATGAGGTGGCTGGATGGAGTCACTGAAGCAGGAGGCGTGAACTTAAATGGACTCCAGAAGATGGTAGAGGACAGGAAGACCTGGAGGAATGTTGTCCATGGGGTCGCGATGGGTCGGACATGACTTCGCAACTAACAACAACAACAAGAAGATTGAGAAACAGTGGTCCAGAACGATAGGCTCAACAGGAATAATGAAGAGAAGAGCATCACAGGATGACAGTTAGACCAGATGGGATGGGATGGGATGGGTGTCCCAAAGGTGCTTTTTCAGGAGGCAACTGGACTTTATTTGAAGATGTTTCACTTCTCATCCAAGAAGCTTCTTCAGCTCTGACTGGAGGGCGACGAATGGAAGGATTTGTATTCCTTGCAGACAGCTGGTCATTTGCAGTCTTTTAGAGAGTCGTTGAGGCCACTTGGAGGTTTGTCTGTGTCCACTGGTTTGAAAGAGGGGTCAAAGAGGCCATCTGTGTCAAAATTGAACAGGCCTCTCTCAACAGAGGTGGGGGGGATGCAACATCCTCTATCTCCAGTCTACAACACAGTCCTTTCAGCAGCTCCAAGAAGGCTCCACACCCATTTGCACCACTCCAATGATCCTGAATACCCAGACAAGCCTCCAAGTGGCCTCAACGACCCTCTAAAAAAAGGCAAACGACCAGCTGTCTGCAAGGAGTATAAATCCTTCCGTTCCCCGCCATCCAGTCAGAGCCGAAGAAGCGTCTTGTGGACGAGAAGCGAAACGTCTTCAAAGGAAAACAAGAAAGGCCAGTTGCTTCTTGAAAAAAGCACCTTTGGGACAACCAAGACCTGGAGGAATGAGCCTCCCCATAGATGGGGTGGGTGAGACTTTCCGAATCTAATCCATGACACAGACATATAAGGAACGGTTGCTGGAATTGGGTATGTCTAGTTTAACAAACAGAAAGATGAGGGGGGACATGATAGCAGTGTTCCAATATCTCAGGGGCTGCCACAAAGAAGAGGGAGTCAAGCTCTTCTCCAAAGCGCCTGAAGGCAGGACGAGAAGCAATGGATGGAAACTGACCAAAGAGAGAAGCAACCTAGAACTAAGGAGAAACTTCCTGACAGTTAGAACAATTAACCAGTGGAACAACCTGCCTCCAGAAGTGGTGAATGCTCCAACACTGGAAGTTTTTAAGAAGAGACTGGACAGCTGTTTGTCTGAAATGGTGTAGGGTTTCCTGCCTGAGCAGGGGGTTGGACTCGATGACCTCCAAGGTCCCTTCCAACTTTATTATTATTATTATTATTATTATTATTATTATTATTATTATTATTATTATTATTATTATTATTATTATTATTATTATTATTATTATTAAAAGCCCCCAAGGAATGAATGTCTGTCCTCCTTGCTCTGGAAATTTGGGTGCAGAGGACAGCCAAACCCTGGGGGATAATCAGTTCTGTGTACAGCCACTAGGGGGCAGGCCGACCCCAGCGCTTTGGAGCTGGGTGTGGCTGAGGAAGGCAGAGAAAATATTTGTCTGTTTTTCTAGCTCCGGACTCAGCCCGTTTTCTCAGAATGCAAAGGAGGACTGGTGGGGTGGGGGAATGTTTCCTATGGGTCATTTGGTCCCACTTGGTTAAGTCAAAAATCATCTTGGCAGTGTCCAAAACAACAACAACAACAACAACAATAATAATAATAATAATAATAATGTGTGCCCTGGCTTTTAATAGGACTTAAAAGCTGAAGGAGTCTGGTGGCACCTTTCCCAACAAACTTTGAGGAAAGAGCAGTCGCTCTTGTCAACGGCAGTTGACTTCCCCTGAGGCTTGGAGGGGCAGACTGAGGTGGGATTGAAATTGGGGTGAGCCGGAGGGGGGCGAAAAGGTGGGGAAGACGGGTTAGGCAAGCCGTTGTGGGTTCCACGAGAGCCAGATTGCAGGCAACCGTTTCACATTGTGCAGCGGATGGCTGCGGAATTTGGGAAGTTGAAGTCCAAACATCTGAAAGTTGTCAAGATTGAGAAACGCTGGCCTAGAATTAGGCTTAGGTCAACCATGAACTCATAGAGCAAAATGGACATCGCCAACAAACTCGGAGTGCTTGGGTATGGTTAGGAGGGCACTGACCTTTCTAGCCTGCCCTATCCATGTTTCCTGGTAAAATACATGGGGAAAATCCCATTGGAGGAAAATTCCACTTAGGGTTAGGGTTAGGTCACCGTGAACTCATAGAGCAAAATGGACATCGCCAACAAACTCGGAGTGCTTGGGTATGGTTAGGAGGGCACTGACTTTTCTAGGCTGCCCTATCTATGTTTCCTGGTAAAATACATGGGAAAATCCCATAGGAGGAAAATTCCACTAGACCAATCCTTCCTTCCTTCCTTCCTTCCTTCCTTCCTTCCTTCCTTCCTTCTCCTCATTCCCATCTCCTTCCTCCCTCCCTCTCTCCCTTTTCTTTCTTTCCTCTTTCTTTCTTTCTCTTTCTTTTCTTTCTTTCTCTTTCTTTCTCTTTGTTTCTTTCTTTTCTTTCTTTCTTTCTTTCTTTCTTTCTTTCTTTCTTTCTTTCTTTCCTTTCTTTTCCTTTCTTTTTCTTTCTTTCTTTCTTTCTTTCTTTCTTTCTTTCTTTCTTTCTTTCTTTCTTTCTTTCTTTCTTTCTTTCTTTCTTTCCAAGGGAAATCTGAAAGACACAAGGGAAACAGGAAAGCACCAGATGTTTCATTTTGTACTTTTCCCATCCCCGTTCCGTTCCGTCGTGCGCATAGGGGGGCAAAAGCTGCAGGAAAGAGGCTGGCACAATCTGATTCTGTTCCTAACCCCAAACGCGCCTTTGGGCATTGCAGACCCATCAGGAAGGAACGGCAGAAATGCGCACAGCAAAGGGATATCCTGCAGTCAGTTGGAGGGATTGACACACTGCAAACCACCTCTGTATTTTCCAGGCATCCGTGGGGGAAACACACCCAAAGCGTTCCAAAGATGCTGGAGTATTTTTCTGTCAAGCTCTGCGCCTGCAGACCAGCTCTTCCTTAGCCCATTGTATGCCGTGTTCTCATTCCTCATCATCGGAGTGTTTAAACTAAAGCAACAACATCCTCAACATCCGTAAGACCATAACTCCCATTTCCCTTCAGACAGCACAGCCGGCCGAGCATTCTGGTTTCTTGCCGATATATATTTCGCAAGGCTGCAGCTTTTTTTAAAAAAATGCTGGGAATTTTGGGCTTTCCTCCTGCGTTTCAGACCTTGAATAGCTCAAACCCTGCCAAGGCCAGGCCTTGGAATCAGCTGAAAATCATGCCCAAAGTCTTTCCACCACCACCGGAAAAGGGGGGGAATTTAAGCATTGTCCTATTATTTCTCCCCCCATACTTCCGAGGCCTGTGTTTTGCCCCCATGCCCGTGATTGGAACAGCCAAGGAACGCCTGGTTTTTTTTTCCAGCTGAGAAAAGAATGCAACATTTTTCCTTTGGACAGCCTGGGAGAGGCTGGCAGAAGCTCAGGCCCTGCTGACTCACAGGCTGGGGCTCCGGGGCTGCACCCAGCCAGACCGAACCCAACATTTCCAACCCAACATTCCTCCTGTACCCTGTCAGACGGGGTATAACACAGCACAGGTAGTCCTCGGCTTACCACAGTTCATTTAGTGACCGTTCAAAGGGACAATGGCCCTAAAATAAAAGTGACCGTTGACCATTTTCCACGCTTATGACCGTTGCAGCATCCCCCCCCCACGGTCACGGGATCAAACTTCGGACGCTTGACTCGTATTTATGACGGTTGCAGC